CGGGAGACTTTGTGTCTATGCTTGAGAGTGCTTGGGAGCCCTCCATCTCACATATGCTCGATAGTGATCATTCGATTGTGTGAGAGAGCGATTCTTGTGCGATTGCATCGTGAGGTTGCATCGAGTGGCACTAGGTGATCGAGTTGCAAGCCGGTGGTGCTTGTTACTCTTGGAGGTTGCCACCTCCTAGACGGCTTGGTGGTGGTCTCCGTCGAAGCCCGAAAGAAGCTTGTGCGGTGCTCCGGAGAAGAGCTTTGTGAGGGGCATTGTGCTCCCCCCGTGGGAGCCGTGAAGAGCAACTTTAGTAAAGCGTGTCATTGAGCTACCCTCACTTTCGGGGTAGGTTCTTGCAGTGCCCGACGTGCGGGCTTGGCGGGTGATGCCAATTAGCCGCCGAACCACCAAGTGAGCGGTCAACACAACGGGGACTAGCGTGTTGGCAAGCACGTGAACCTCAGGAGAAAAATCACCGTGACAACCTTGTTCTTCCCGTTGGTTTGCATCCTCGTTACACAAGCTTGTAATTACTTTCATATGCATTATGCTTGTGTAGTTGCTCTTGTAATTAGTTATCTTGTGTAGCTCACTAGTTACCTTCTTGCTTGTATAGCATAGAAGTAGCTCCCTTTCATGGCTAATTCGGTTTGTGTAACATTGTTAGTCACATTGCTTAGTTTGTGTAGCTAAGTATTTGCGCTCACTAATTTGGCATTGGTTGCCTTGTTATTGAGCATTGCTAGTGAGCTTAGGTGGCTTTGTACTTTTGTTTACTAGCATGAGTAGGAGCTCCCTTAGTTGCTTGAAGTATTAGCGGCATAGGTTTGTGTGACCTTGCTTCTAGAATTGGTTATGTGAGCTCTAGCTAGTCCGGCATCTTAGTTGCTTAATTAGAATATTTGCAAGATGCTAGAGAACCTAGATAGAGGGGTGTAGTCTTGGCTAGACCAATTATTTTAATTCTGTAGTTGTTTCGATTAGCCAACGCGATTAGATTTTAGAAATGACTATTCAACCCCCTCTAGTCACCATCTTGACCTTACAGCGGTGCTGCGGGCGTGATCACGGTCACAGGAAAAGGGAGTCGGAGGATCTCGTCATCTCCTATTGCCACTAGTGTATATGTATACATACCTGGGGCTGGGGGCATCATTTTCCTGGGCCTGGGCCGGCCGGCCGGTGTAATATTACATGAGATCTAAATAACCAAATGTTTCCTGTACAGCTGTAGTCACTCCTCTCTGGTTGATTGGAACGTACCTTGAAGATCCAAAATCCGACACTTTAGCTGTTAAACTATCATCGAGCAGTATGTTAGAAGACTTAATATCTATGTGGAATATTGGCATTGAACTATCCAAATGTAGATAGGCCAGAGATCTAGCAATTTCAAGTGCAATTCGTAGTTGATCGTCCCAAGATAATGATAACGGCTCTTCAACATGAAGATGGTGAGAGAGTTTTCCATTTGCCACGTTTTTGTGGTCGATTTGACAAAGAATTGCAACCTCATTTATGAATTGGTTGATTTCTCGTTGCACCACTACTTTTGATTTCTTGATGGCCACTGCATGTAGGTCTAAATTCCTTTGTACACAACGCCATGTCCACCACCACCAGCCTCGCAAGATTTGTCAAAACGGAGTTAGTACCGCCCGGACGTCCGGAGGTTTTGTTTCCATTGGATGCTAACGTTAACGTATCACAGACGGGTTTTTCCATCGGACGATCGCGCCTGCCCCGCGCGCCTGCTATTGTTGCGCGCCTTTCTACTGCTGCTACACATGCGCGTGCCTCCCCGCTTTTTTGCTGTGCCTGTGGGGACCGCCTCCGCCTACACTCGCTTCCCGTGTCTGCTAATGAAAACACTTGCAATATGAAGCACTTGCTGCAACATAAGTCTAAAACAGGTAAAACATTTGAAACATACGCTTGCAACATATGTGTATATCCACTAGAACATATGCAACATCCAGAGAAAAACTTGCAACACACGTCTGAAACAGCTGAAACATTTGGAACATACACTTGCAACATACGTTTGAAAACAGTTGAAACATTTGGAATGTACTCTTGCAACGTACGTATATAGCCATTGCAATATGTGCAACATCCTAATATACTTTTGCAACATCCAAATGAAACACATACAACATTCAGATGAAACATCTAAAATACTTGAAACATATGCTTACAACATGTGCTTTCAGTACAATGTACCTTGCTGCTTACGAATGGAGGCTCATCGTTGCGGAGCTCGACGCCAACGCGGAGGTCGGCGACGATGCATGGAGCCCACTGGTGTGGCAGCGGCGTGGGCAATTCACCGGCGGGGCAGTGTCACATGAAGCTCCTCCCCACGCCTGCTTACTAGAGCATCCATCATGGAGGCTTGCCCGCTGGGTGGAGGCGGCCGCGGCAGGCAGAAGCCATAGTGCAGGCGAGCAGCACGGTGGAGCGCGGAGTGGGGAAGGCAGGCAGCGTGGTGGAGGCGGAGCACAATAGATAGATTTTTTCGGAAGGGGTGTGGACGGGAGCGAGCAGATGGCGCGGTAGCGAGTGGGGAAGCCGCGTCTGTCCGTCCGGACGCCCTCATGAGAGCATTACCGCTGTCAAAACTGTTTGTGGCCTTCTCCAACTCTGCTAATGTGATAATCATCCTTTCACCAATACCTGCATTCTATGATATTAACTGCTGCAGTAGCAAACCATGGTTTTGATTGAAATATCTTTTTCTTTTTCGGTCTTCCGTAGCTTAATCTTACGTATTATGAAGGGGCCACAAAAGGCCGGAACAAATAAAATTGAGCCACAACTGACTATCAGGCCTATGGTTGAACCTTAATTTTTTTTTGAAAAAAGAGAGAGTTAAATATCAAATATACCACTCTTACCTAATGGTAGGATGAGCATTAAATATTGTTAAATAATTCATTATGTATCAATTTCTCATGTATAAAAGAGACTTGATAAAATTAGTCCACCTCAACTTCCCAGCTTCTGCAAAACTTACGTATATACAGAACTCATGAAGTTGGTATATACAAAACTTAGGTAATCCATGATGTAATTGTCACCTGGAGAGGAACACTTGATCTTGATGTATCCCTTCTGTGAAGGGGTTGCCATATGTTCCATCAGGACATTGACAATGAAATGTTCCAGGCATATTTAAGCAGGTGCTGTAGCATGAGTGGAGTTCCCAAAGTGCACACGTACTCATCGATGTGTAAACAAGCAAAAATACAAAACCATCAACTAAACTAGAAACTAGACTGGTGAAGTAGTTTTGTCTCAAAACATTAATAAACTAGTACACACCTATGGAAGATTTAGATACATCTAAGCAAGCATTAAACTGTAAACATCAATCTGAAATCATTTCAGATATGTGCTGTAAGGAAATGAAACTATATTGCTTTAACGTGTATATCTTTGCACCCATCTTGTACGTATGAGTTTCCTTGATACCCTGCAGAAGAACGACAGCGGTAACCACTGTAAACATAGCTTGTATAGTTTTCACAAGAGCTGTTTACTGCATGTTGAGTTGCTGATCATCCAGTCCAGCAAGGCTGGGAGAGCATAAACAGTTTCAAAGATCAGGTGTGTAACATTGTAGGATCCCTCCTCAGCTATGTACACCGAAGACTCTGCATCAAACTCAGAAATATTACTGGGCGGTTGGACGAGGATGCTGTAGGAAGTATAGCCTTTCGGGATTGATGCACTCCAACAGCCAATTCCAGAGCACTCATTGCGCATTGGATACTGAAAAGATTGGTTTTTCCCAGGGGCTGGTGGACAGTAAGTGGCACAGGCATTTACAATGCTGCCGTCCTCTCCAAAGAGAACTTGGATGTTGTGGCAAGACAGCACCAGGAACCTGTTCTTATCTGGAGAGACAAAGAACGGGCCACCCTTTCTGAGGCCAATCTATCCATGTGTGGTACTACCTCCCTGTCTTGTTCGTCATGTCATCTGTAGCAGCATTAGGAACCGACGATAGCACGATGCCTCTGCTGTTGTGGCGCACCGCGCCACTGGGAATGGATATCCCAAGGACCTCCACCGTGCCATCGCCGAGGAATAGCTTGGGTGGATTATGCGAGTGATCACAACTGAGGTTGAAGCCAAGATGGTAGCAGCCAGGCTCAATTCCAAAGGGGTAGGAGATGCTGATATTGTCACAGTGAGTGCTGCAATTAGCTATTTCTTGGCCCACTTCACCTGCATGCAACAGCTGCAGCAGCACTGCTGCACCCACAGCCACCATAAATACAACTCTCCTACTCGCTAACTTCTCCATACATCCAACTGCTGAGATATTCATAAACTGATTCTGATGAACTGATGATAATGAATTTCCTATGATCTCCATTCTCCAAGCTATCAAACATTACTCATTTCTTGCCAAGTATATGCCCTACCCACCGTGTGAAATTTACATGGAATTGGGAAAACATCGACATGGCTACATTGACTTGGCCTGGCATGGAAATTTGTGTTCTACTGACCACCCACAAAACTTAGAATACTACCTTCTCTCCGGAGAGGAAGACAGCCCATGTCTCATCTTCTACCACCTAACCCCCTGATTAGAACAATATACTCTACTTTTCATATATGATAGTGCTCAATTTAAAAGATGAGAGCAGATTAGAATTGCACAATCAACAGACATTAAAATGATGGCATTTGAAGGATTCCAAAGCGCGATGGGGCCACTATAGATTTATTACCCAGCTTAGGTTATACTTTTCAGCATGTTCCAGTTTCTGGTCAACAAAGGATTAAAGGAAGCACATATGACTAGGAATTGTAAGAGTCTAACAAAACAAAAGTGGAAAAGTCTCACTTGGAACATTGCACAAATCTAAAATAAAAACATTTTTTATAGCAAAAGGTTTTGCTCCAGATTTATATAGGAGTAATGAGAGGTGACGGGACTGCCCAGGCTATTTGTTATGTTATAGAAAAACGTCAAGCCATGTTGGAGAAAAATGCAGGCAAACAACGAAACCTTCTTACCCAACGAGTTCCGAGTTCCGGCAGATGGCAGGATGGTGCCATGGCGGCGGCGATGTACGCTGCTCGGTGACAGCCTCGCTGCCCCCAGCCCAGATCCTCGGCGGACTGACTCGCCAGATAGAGTTCCAGGCACGACAGCAAGGAGCCCCCAGGCATGCCTTCCTGAATCGCTGCGTGTCCCCACTCCTCAGGAGCCGCCTCCATTTGCCGGCTGCTCTCGCCACTGTCGGCTACCGCGGATGCGACGCAGTGCTCAGGAGCCTCATCCATTTGGTACTGTAACGGAGCAGCACCGCGGCCTCCATCGGCTCTCCGGCGAGGCCGCCGTCGCCGGGGCAAAAGGCTGACTGCGCGGATGAGATAGACGGAAGGACTATTTTGCAAATAATCAGGATTGTTAAAAAAAAATGAGAGGCTCGTGAGCTGGTGATTGCACAAAAAATGAGAGGCTGCTCTACATCCTGGGCCCTGGCTTGGCGGTTTGCACCTCTCCGACGCCACCGACGCCACGCAGTTCTAGATTAACGGTCTCGTGCCCTCACCAGTCACCACCGTTCGCCGTTCGCCCCATTATAGAGAAGTTGTTATTTTAAATAACTTCATAAATTTTGACTGAAACATTATATCATATTAATATTGGTAATTTAATTTTAATCACTTTATCATATATAAAACAATACTACACATATATAATCATGTGACGTAACAAATTTAACATGTTCAGTACCTAGGTGCAAGCTGAGTTACAACTTAACACGTGGAAAACAATATTACTAGAATCTAAACTCCTTTTAATAATTAAAATTGAATAAAAGATAAAATAATGCTAGTGTTTCTACTTAACATTTAAAAAAAAAGTTATAACAACTTGATTAAAAGTTAAAAGGTAAGCTATAGATTCATGAAGTCACAAAAAAAAGATGCAACAAGAGTTTGTATATAAATACTAGGAGTTCTAACTAAAGCTGCCTAATGGAGCATCCACATTAATCCTCATGAGACACGATAAGAAAAACAAAAGATAGATCTTAGAAATTTCACAAAAAAATGAAACATTTGACCATCAGTTTGATATAATAATAACTTAATCACCATTTATAATATAGCTATTGTATCTATTCTATTTTCTAAATATAACATAAAGTAACACATGACTCTAAAATCATGATCAACCTAGCACTAGCGGTTCTCATGATTAAGATCAAGTTCAGCAAGCACAAGATCAACAAGTGGCTAGTCCAACTCAAGCGATTCAACCAAGTTATCACCAAGCTCAAGCAATCAAGTGCAGATTGTCCAACCGGATATCCATCCAGCAATTGCAATGGACCATCTATTGGATCAAATTGTTGGTGATTTAAGAAGTGGTGTTCAAACAAGATCAAGGCTTGTATCCTTTTGTGAGCACTATTCATTTGTGTCTCCCAGTGAACCAACCAAGATCGATGAAGCTTTGAAGGATGTTGATTGGGTCAATGCTATGCATGAAGAGCTCAACAATTTCACAAGAAATCAAGTTTGGGAGCTAGTTGAGAGGCGAAAGAACTACAATGTCATTGATACCAAATGGGTATTTATAAACAAGCAAAATGAAGATGGCATTATAGTGAGGAACAAAGAAAGATTAGTGGCTCATGCCACACATAGTGCTTAAAGAATCACTCGGTGATTAGTATAGGTGCTTTGCGAAGTGCTTAGGCTAGTTAGACCATGGCTAAAAGCGCTTGCTCTTGGTTTAGGCCTAGTGTTAGTGAGGTTTGCATACGTCTTGATTACTCGGTGTTGCGTGCACCATTGTTATGCTCGACGGGGCCTATAGTCCTGAGAGACTTATACCAACCGCGTTTGTGATGTAGTCGTCATCGTGTATATATAGAAGGAAACAATGCCCAAGACATTTTGTCCAGAAACTTGATAATGAAGATGGCGGGGAGTGGTTCGTGGAGAGGCCATCTTGGAGATCCGCTTGCGCATGGGGAAGGCCCAAGGGCGATCCATGGAGTTACCTGACCAGGAGCTTGGCCCCTGCGAGGGCATCCTTGCGAGGGGTTCCAACGAGGACTAAGTGGAAGCAAAGAGCCTCTCGATATCTAGGTAAAAATACAAGAGTCGTCGATGTGAGTTTGCACTCTACCACCCTTAAGCTTTTGCGTTTATTTTATGTACTTAGGATTGTGTGCTTTACCTTACTAGATTAATTTGATAGGCTAGTTCATAGGATTGTAGCCTAGGTTGCATAACTCTTTTGCGCTAGAGAGAGCAACACACCTAGCAAATTAGAGGCCATAGTTTTAGAAGTAGATTTTAAGTAGCCTAATTCACACTCCCCTGGTCTTAGGCGTCATGGTCCTTTCAATATGGGTCTGTTGATCCTGTTTAACATATGTCTACTACAAAGCTAGACTAAAAATGTTGAATAGATAGATAACAAAGAAGTTTGCCATCTACCTAGACTAGGCAAAATGACCGAATACAATTCAGAGTCTAGGAGCCACCCAATAAAGCACTAGAAATTTGATGATTCAAAACAAAAAAGCAGTTGTAAGGGTAAAGGAAAATATAACTTTGGGTTGCCTTCCGGTAGGTGTTTGAAAGAAAAAGAAAATAGACAAACTCGGTTCGAAACTAGTACACCTATTCCCTAGCAATAGCGCAAGAAAGCTTGTTGGTAATCTTAACAACCGTAGATAAATCTGCAAGCGTATGGACACCATTGTAGCTTTGACCCTAGAGTATTCCAAGGTATCGAATCCACAGGGAACGTGTGTGTACTAGTTAAGAATCAAGAACGACCAAAGAAGAGATAGGGGATACAAGTGTAGAGGGAAGAGAGGGTCATTCTAAGGGTTCTGGATCACTGCTAGATAGTTCGAGCTTTACTATAACGCTTGCTTTGGTGACATAGATCCAACAAGAGAGTGCTATGCTCTCCCTCGTTTTTTGATAGTGACATGAAACCACTCATCGCAATGGGCAATGGACAACGATCATGGACGAAGTTGATTGTGGAAATATGAGTTACCACAGTTTTAGATAACTCAGATAGCAAAATACTGATGCGTCTGCCTTCATTTTAGTTTCACTTTCTCCATTAGACAACTGGATCTGTGTCACCGGAGATCCTTGAAGTAAGGTTACCTCTTGTATTAACTTTTTAGGTCCTCCCCCCCATGTTTTAAATCATGATGAGAAAAATGGGCAAGTGGCCTGTCGTCCAGGCAAGTTAAATTTCTTTCCGACATTTTAGATTATTCTTGTCGATGCCAACTTTTAACAATCCAAACTATGATTGTACATTGTTTTTTGTCATATGCACAAAAAAAGTAGTAGAGTTTGGAAACAATTCTATTATCTAAAAAAAATATAAGATACACAGAAACATGAATACACAGAACAATTAGGTTGCATCATCTTGAGAATGCATAGACAAACCCAAAATTCTTCATTGAACAAGGAAACATGCAAAAATAGGAAAAAGAACTCATGTTCAGCTTGCAAAAACAAGCACAAAAAAAATAAGCTTTACATTATTTATAAATGTCAATATGCGGGACTAAAGTAAACTGATGTATTTCATCAATTATTTATGAGAACAAATGGAAGTGACACTTGTTTGTCGTCTCGCAATGCTATGAAACAATAGATAAAAAAAGTACATGAATTGTGCACTTGTTCAATACAGCGATAAAAATTCACCGGGGAAAGCTCGCTGATAACAACATTTCCTCCTCCATGGTGTATTGCCTGCTAGCTTCCTTAGTTCTTCGGTCAGTTGACATGTAAGGACCGGCAGTTTCCCCACTATTTGTTTGTCGTGTTCCATTATATTGAACCTGCCTCTTCTTAACGAGCAGGCATTCAAGGGCCATCTCCACTTCCCTCATTGTAGGCCTGTCTTCTCCCTTCAATTTTGTGCACATTGCTGCTAGTGTGGCTACTTCTTCGATTTCTCCACCTTCCTCCGCCATGACTTGAGGATCTAATATGTCAACCAGTTTGCCTTCTGCTAGCAGCGAAACAAAATGTGAAACAAGACCATCATCATCAACTGACCTATACACATATGGTCTCTTTCGAGTAAGCAATTCTACAAGAAGAACACCAAAACTGAAAACATCACTCTTGTCTGTTAATCGTCCATTGTAATAATACATTGGATCCAAGTAACCCATCGTTCCTTGAACTGCTGTAGTCACTCCTGTCTGATCTATTGGGATATATCTAGAAGCTCCAAAATCTGAAACCTTTGCAGTTAAAGCATCATCAAGAAGTACGTTGGATGACTTAATATCTCTGTGAAATATGGGCATTGAAGCAGATGCATGCAGATAGGATATCGCTTTGGCAACCTCGGCTGCTATCCTCATCCGATCGTGCCATGGTAGTGACACTGGTCCTTCAACATGAAGATGATGACAGAGGGTTCCATTTGAAATGAACTCATAAACTAGCAATGGGACTTCTGTCTCAAGGCAACACCCTAAGAGCTTCACCACGTTTCTATGGTTCACTTGAGAAAGAATGACAACTTCATTTATGAATTCATTGATTTCTCATTGAACTACTATCTTTGACTTCTTGATTGCCACAACATGTAGATCTAGAATTCCTTTAAACACGACACCATGCCCTCCACCACCAATGATGCGAGCTCTATCAAAATTATTTGTTGCCTTCTCTATATCACGTAAGGTAATTATCATTCTCTCACCAATGTCTGTGCTTCGTGATATTAACTGTTGCAATAGCAGCCCATGATTTTGCTTGAAAAATCTTTGTTTCGTCTTCTTTACCTTTTGAAGCTTGATTTTACGCATTATGTAGGGAGCACCAAGGGCTAGAAGCAAAAGACTTGTTCCACCACCGACTCCCAGCCCGATGCTTAAACCTAAGAAAATATTTAATGACACGGCACGTTTAGGATTCGCAGTAACAAAATATATCAAGATGAAAAATATTAATTCTGTGAGTGAAATCGGAAAGTTTAAGCTTGCATTGCATATAGCGGCTGCTTAGTACCTGTAAATGAGTTATTGAATGTAATGCATCCCCCTTTTGTAGAAGAATTTCCATAGGTTCCATCTGGACACTGGCAAAGAAAACTTCCAGGGAAATTTTGGCATATCCCGTAGCATGAGTATGCTTCCTGGTGCTTGCACTCGTCAATGTCTAGGATATACATGTTTAAAGAGGAAATAAATAAACATGTACACCGTATATATGTTAGGTGGGATTCATGTCGATTCAGTAAGCAGTATCACAGTAACTACAAGACTATGTCATTGGAAAATGCATGGGTGAAACTACAAAATGAAATAAGGTTAAAAGGAAACAAGCCGAAAATTTGAATGGTCATGACATAAGTAGTAGCACCGGTACTGATCTTGTAAGCTGTATACTAAGGACTATGATAACCATAAACCTGGATTGGCATTGTGTACGTACCTTTGCATCCATTTGGGAAAGAAGCATTGCCTGTAAAACCAGGAAAGCACTGACAAGTGAAACTCCCAGGTGTGTTGAGACAGTTTCCATAGCAATGGTATATGTCTGGAGATTTACATTCGTCAATGTCTAAAACGAGAAACAACAGGATCGGACGTTAATTAGTATGAGCAGGAGATGCTCAGAATATTAAACAGTGTTGTATATAATATAATACGTACCTTGGCATCCACCGGGGACATAAGGATTGCCTTCGTAACCATAAGAGCAATGGCACCGATACCCACGGTGGCCGACATGGGTACTGTAGTCTAGGCAAAAGCTGTTGACACTACGGCACTCGGCAGCGGACTTGTTTGTCGTCGGACATTGGGCACCGCTGATGACCCAGTCCATGGTAACTGGTGGACCGCCGTCCAGACTAAGGCTACCGGTGTCAATATTATACGTAGAAGAATCCCGATCAATTATGTAGATACCAGCATTGCTAAGACTGGTTGCGTAAAAAGCCGGCGATGAAATGCTGCGGTTTTGGATCTGGATGCGGTAGAAAGAGTAACCCAGAATGATGTTTGCCTCACAGCAGCCAAGGCCACCACAGCTACCGTTGGGCAAATACGGGTATGGTAAAACAGAGCTGTAGGGGTTAAGTGCACTGAGCATTGGGCAGACAGCAGTGCAGGAACCTACCAACGTGTCGCGATAGCGATAGTAATTACTTCCCACATCAGTCCCATGGACATGGACGTCGACCTGGATGTTGCAACCTATCACCAGCACCATGCCCGTCGACTCCGACAGGAAGAAGTGGCCGCCCTCTGGGAGCCCGCCTCCCCACGTCACACTCCCGGTGGTGATCCGGCCACGCGAGTAGGGTCCTTGCCCGAACTCCATTCGGCGGCTTTTGATGCGCACCGTGCCGCTGGGAACAGAGATGTCTGTCACCTGCACAGTGCCGTCGCCGAGGAACAGCCCCGGCGACGGCGGATCGCCCTGCTGCCTGCAGGTGAGTTTGAAGCCGCCGCCGTCGTGGTAGCAGCCGGGCTCCACGCCGAACGGGTAGGCGATGCTGATGTTGCCGCAACGGCTGGTGCAGCTGCTACCGGCGGCGGGGCCGGATGCTGCCGACGCCGGCGAGGCGACGACCCACGGCAGGACGAGCGTGATGAAGAACACTGCGGCTCCCATGCTCTCAACCCACGGCAGGATGAGCGGGATGGGTGCTTTACAACAGATAGATGCGAGATCAAGGCCGTGTTTATTTCCAATTTATATCGGATCTGCGGTAGTGAGAATTGAAAAAACCAGGATAGTGTCCTACGTGGTGGTCAACGCTGTTAGCTAATCTACTGCCACCTTGTGAGAACACAGCAGAGGAAGACGACGCCGACTTAGCTGCCTGCTGTGTGTGAACACAGCAAGGGAAGGCGGCGCCGACTTTGCCCCCTGCTGTGATATAGTAGCCGCTGTAGAGGTGCGGTAGCGCCAGACGGCTCACCTACAACATTGTAGAAAGACGAGGCGGTGGGCGGTAGCAGAGTCAGCCTGTCGGGTTATCTAGTTACTGTGCCAGCATGGGCGCTGCACATGGACTAGATAGTTAGAGTTGTATAAATAGACATGTATGGCAACTCAGTAAAGAGAGCTCAGATTTGCCATCACACAGACAGGGCTTCGGCCAACGCTGTTGCCTTGTATTGTGAGTGCTTGCTCTGTTCTCCCTTCCTCTTCTTGCTCGATCCGTAGTGTGTGGGTACGGACAACGCCGGTACGTGGTCTGCACGGCTAGTGGGTGCTCGGCAACACTAGCGCGTGCTTTCGGCGAGACCGACAAATGCTCCACTACTTTGAGCGGTGGTCGGCAAAATCGGTGGAGTGGTTCATTGTCGTGAGCACAGTGATCTGTGAGACCAACAGAGTGGTGCGGAGATCATCTCGGTGGTCGGGAGACTAAGCGTGGGCCAACAAGTGGTATCAAAGCCAGATAAGCGCCGTCGTCATTCTAACCGATGGCGATGGCGGGTGGTTCGGAGTTGGGCGACGGCGTTAATAATTGTCGTGGCTGCCCGACCACTACCGGAGGTAGTTGTTCGCGACGGTGCGGGAGGTCGGCGGCACCACTTGGCCGACGACGACTCGCACTAACTATGGAGAGTGGTCGGTGACCATGAAGGTCAAGCTTCGAGCCCGTCGGCTCGGAATGCTGATTGACAAGGGCACCGGCGTGGAAGAAGACGACATGTCGGCGATGGAGGCTATACTCATTTGTTGTCTTGGCGGAGTATAGGGAACCGTTGGGGACGAAGAGCTCAGCTAAGGAGGCGTGGGAGGCCATTGCGGCGTCTGCGCGTCGGTTCCGACCAGCAAAGAAGGCAACGGCCCAACCAAGCAAGCGAGTACGCAAACCTCAAGTTCAAGGATGATGAAACGGTGGAGGACTTCTCCCTCCATCTGCAGACGCTCATCAGTAAGCTGAAGAGCCACGGCGTCACCATCGACGAAGAGGAGCGGTCTCCAAGTTCCTCCACTGCGGCCGGCAAAGTACATCCAGATCGCTCTATCCATAGAGGCGATTTGGACTTGTCCACCCTCACCATCGAGGATGTGGCAGGCCGCTCACTGAGGCGGTGGACGAGCGCTGGAGCGGTGTGACAAAGAACGGCGACGGCGGGAAACTCTGGCCGACGGAAGAGGAGTGGGCTGCTCGGCGAAACTCCGGAAGGCGGCCTCCTCCGGTCGCGGTGGCAACGGCAAACATCGCGGCAGGGCTTCTTCGGTGAAGAAGTAAATCGACTCCAACGCCTGTCGGTGTTGCGGAAAGATGGGCCATTGGGCATAGGAGTGCCCAAATCGCAAGAAGGAAAAGAAGGCTCAGGCTCACCTGACGAAAGCCGATGATGAGGATGAGGCTACTATCCTTATGGCGACGTTCTGTGCACTGCACGACGTCGAGGCCATGGAGAGGGAAGAGGCGACGACGGTGGAAGGATCTAGCAAGGCCCTGAAGACCGTCAACCTCGACGAACCACGCGCCCAAATCCATCTTGGGCATATGGGCGTCGACCAGGAGCAACGGTGGTATCTAGACTCTGGTGCCAGTAACCACATGACGGGCTCCAAGGACTCCTTCTCCGAGCTCGACGGCGATGTTACCGGTACGGTGAAGTTTGGTGACGGCTCAAGGGTGGCTATCCAAAGGGCGGCACCATCATCTTCGAGATGCCGAATGGGGAGCACCACGCGCGCTAACGGATGTATACTACATCCCGCATTGCGTTCAAACATCATCGGCATTGGTCGACTAGATGAGCGCGGTAGCGAGGTTACGATCAGGACGGCGTTCGAGGATCGAGACCGGGAGCGGCGACTTTCGCCAAGGTGAAGAGGTCCTGAACGGTTGTACTTCGCCGACCGAAGGTAGAGCAGCCGGTTTACTGGCGGCAAGGCACTCCGAGGAACCATGGATGTGGCATGCCCGGTTCGGACATCTCGGCCGACGCCGCTTGGTCGGTGGAGAAGATGGTGCGAGGGCTACCCTACATCAAACACGGAGGCGAAGCAGATGGCATTTGCCCGCAGAAGCGAGAGGAGGCTACCTTTCCCAAAGGCGGCCAAGTATCGCGCGAAGGAAGCTCTCGAGCTAGTTCATGGCGACCTCTGCGGGCCGATCACGCGCTGCTACATGCGGTGGTCGGCGGTACTTCCTCCTACTCGTGGACGATTGCAGTCGCTACATGTGGCTGCAACTCCTGACGAGCAAGGACGAAGCGGCGGTGGCGATCAAGAAGTATACTGCCGGCTTATTTCGCTATTATTCGTGTCTTCTTCCATAGCAAGTCGCCTATCTGTTTGGTCAGTTGCCATTTCAATTGACATGCAGTGAACCGGTGTTTCATTATTCTCATCATACCTCCTTGTTGTTGCAATATATGGAACCTGCTTCTTCTTAACCGGTATGCTTTCAAGTATTATCTCCACTTCTCTCATTATAGGGCCTGTTCGCTGGTTGGTGCTGGTGCTGGTTTGGGCTGGCTGGTACTGGTTTTTTGTGAGAGAAAAACACTGTTGGCTGGCTGGTTTAGGCTGGCTAAAACCAACAAGTGAACAGGCCGATAGGCCGGTCTTCTCCTTTCAATTTAGTACACATTGTTGCTAATGTAGCTACTTCTTGGACTTCTCCATCTTCCTCTTCCATGACTTGAGGATCTATTATGCCAACAAGATTACCTATCACGAGCAACTTTCTGAAATGTGACACAAGATTATCACCATGCCTGGACCGATAGACAAATGGTTGCTTTCTGGTTAGCAATTCAATAAGAAGAACACCAAAACTGAAGACATCACTCTTGTTTGTTAGTCGGCCTGTATAATAGTACATGGGATCTAGGTAACCCCTTGTTCCTTGAACCTCTGTGGTTACTCCAGTTTGATCAATCAGGATGTATCTTGAAGTGCCAAAGTCAGATACTTTTGCTGTTAAACTGTCATCTAGAAGTATGTTGCTAGACTGAATATCTCTATGGAATATAGGCATCAAAGCCTCTCAATGTAGGTAGGATAGAGCTCTAGAAACTTCCAATGCAATCCTTATTCGGTCAACCCATGGTAGTGACATTGGTCCTTCAACATAGAGATGTTGATAGAGGGTTCCATTTGAGATAAATTCATAAACTAGTAACGGGACTTTTGTCTCAAGGCAACATCCTAATAGCTTCACCACATTTCTATGATTGACCTGAGAAAGAATGGCGACTTCATTTATAAATTCATTGATCTCCCTTTCTACTGTAATCCTTGATTTCTTGATTGCCATGACCTTTAGATCAATAATTCCTTTGAACACAACGCCATGCCCTCCTCCACCAATCACACGTGCTTTATCAAAATTGTTTGTAGCCTTCTCTAGATCTCTTAAAGTAATTGTCATCCTTTCTCCAATGTCTCCATTATGCGATACAAGCTGCTGCAATAGTAGCCCATGATTTCTTGGTTTTGTACCATTGTATTTCTTCTTAACTATCAAGTTCTCAAGAATCATTTCCACTTCCCTCATTGTAGGCCTATCTTCACTATTCAATTTTGTGCACATTGCTGCTACTGTAGCTACTTTGTGCATGTCTCCATCTTCCTCCTTTATGACTTGAGGATCCATTATCTCAACTAGATTGCCTTCTGCAAGCAGCGAGACAAAATGTGAAACAAGACCATCATCGTCTATGGATCGGTAGACATATGGTTTCTTTCGAGTAAGTAATTCTATAAGAAGAACACCAAAGCTGAATACATCGCTCTTATCTGTTAGTCGGCCTGTATAATAGTACATTGGATCCAAGTAACCAATTGTTCCTTGAACAGCTATAGTAACTCCTATTTTGTCAATTGGGATATGTCGAGAAGCTCCAAAGTCTGATACTTTTGCAGTTAAATTATCGTCAAGCAGTATGTTGGATGACTTAATATCTCTATGAAATATTGGTATCGATATAGCTGAGTGTAAATAGGATAGTGCTCTAGCAACTTCCAATGCAATCCTTATGCGATGATCCCATGGTATTGATATGGATGCTTCAACGTGAAGATGGTGACAAAGTGTCCCATTTGAAATGAACTCATAAACAAGCAATGGAACTTCTGCCTCAAGGCAACATCCTAAGAGCTTCATCACATTTCTATGGTTGACTTGAGAAAGAACCACAACTTCATTTATGGACTCATTGATTTCTCTCTGTACTATAATCTTTGATTTCTTAATTGCAACAACATGAAGGTCAATAATTCCTTTAAACACGATGCCATGGCCTCCACCACCAATCACACGAGATCTATCAAAATTATTTGTGGCCTTCTCAAGCTCTTCTAATGTAATTATCATCCTTTCACCAATATCTGAATTCTGTGATACCAACTGCTGCACCAACAACCCATGATTTTGTTTAAAAAATTTATCCTTCATCTTCTTCACCCTTTGCATCTTGATTTTACGAATTAAGAAGGGACACGAGGTACACTTTAGTCGCTAGCTAGTAATTAATAAATGCCTGATAATTAATTGTCCATGCTAGCTAGTTGCATGCTTTAGATCTACAAGAGTTGGTTTCGTGGCGCGACACGAGGTACACTTTAGTTGCTCAAATTATGGTTGGCGATGGTGGTCATGGTGTTCCTAATTGATTAGGTGGGGGTGGTGTGGCATGATCCCTTGAAAGCAATTTGCGTAGGCCTTGATCACATGCGCAGCGCGCATAACAGACTTTTTTAGGAACAAATTCCACAGAGAGTACTGTTAGCACTGTCACAGAATACACTTTGTGTACAGACTACAGACTGCGAATTGTGATCTGTCGATCTCAGTCTCCACTACCTGACCCCGCCGGTGGTTGCCGTTTTCATAAACAGAGTTGGTGTCGTTGGTTCCTGTTCCTTTCGTCTTCGTGTCTTCGCCTCGTAGCATGGCGCCTTGTGTTATAATTTAGTGTTCCCTAAATACAGCCATGATATTGGGATTCGTCCTTTTAATATAAGCTGAACAATGATAGTATATAGTACTAAACGTGCAGCATGACATTTCATTGGCCGAGAAAATCGTTTTCCTTGAAAGCAAATCATTTCATGATCTTCGTGGTGCGCGTTGTTTAATCACAAAGGATTATATAATTGACGTAGTACACCTTACTTTCTCCAAAAGCTCTCTACTTGCTCCACATGCCCACCTAATCTAGCTGTCTTATGCGTTGTGTCAAAAGCAGAGCCAGGTCATTCTAAATATTCATACCTATCACTTCAATTAACATATCCTTCCTACTCCACCGATGGAACATTTCAGACTAATAAGTAAGTACTATTTTTTTATACAAAATGCGCGTGTCATGGTTACTTTGGTGTGTTTAGTTGTTCTGTCATGCACACAAATTCAGATTTGAAGGTTTGATTGGAGTGCTGAAGATTGAAACCTGTTGTCGGCATCTCTGATCAGTGCCATATGATAAGATTTTAAACTTTGGTCAATGCACGCCTAATTAAGTTGAAGGGACCAAATCTGAGATCTTATGTGGCAGTGGCACATATTTTGAACATACACATTCAATCCAAACAATGATTGATGAAACAAATACCTTCATGGCGTCACGGATCCAGCTCTTATACCGTTCTTCGCTTGTCCTGTCATTACAACTATACATTACCATGACTAGACCATTACGTATTTGACTTAGGGATCACATATGTGCTCCTACTAACTATGTTAAGTTGTCGCTGCTTTCATCACACAGTAAATGCATGTTTAGTCATGTGACATTTTGTGTGCAGATGGAAAATCGATCCTCCACTGCTGAATACCGGTGCCCGTCAGCAAACTGTTCAACCAGAGACGCAACCGATGCAAACTACTCTAGCAAGCACTGAAGACCAGCACTAGAGGACATTTCTTCTTTTTTCGTGGACAGTACAAGTCAGCAAATCAGGCTGCTGTTGCCCCTTAAAGATTTGTCAAAAGTCCCCAGCAGTTGCCCACTGATGCACCGTCGGTGCCAACCGCTGCCAAAGCAACAGAAGCCGCCTCAGCTCAGCTCATTTCTTTGGACTCTACAGTTAAAGCTACCAGAAGTACATGTAATCTTGGACACTTCGTCGTCTAAATCCCTTTATATCGACGTATAAAAAATAGGTAAAAAGTTTAATTATCCGTACCTCCGTTCCCCCTTGCTGTAGAATAGCATTGTAGGCATATTGTTTTCGTGTAAAATAGATGAGAGCAGGGACTTGCAAAAGTCTTGTGGTTTGGGAATCGAAGCATTGGTTGTACACACTTGTATGAAATAATGATGATCCAGTTTTCACTTCGTTTTCTATACACGTTGTACGTATGTCAAGATGTTTGGCCGTGCAATCCCTGGTGGTCAATTGGTCTTGGTGTTCCTAACTTTGAAACCAGCTCGTCAGCTACCTTAAACCGTAGGGCAGCTTCTCTGAACCTGTTGTTACCTTTGATTTTTCACTGTCAAAGTCAAATGTCGTGTAGGCATTGGCTAGTGTCTACTTCGCACAAGTGAATCACTCTGTTTTAGATTCATATTTTATCCGACTCAAATACTATTACCTCCTGGCTCCTGCTAGCGGTCCTAAATTTCTTAAGAGCCTGCAGGATTTTGTCCAGATCTTCATTTCCGAAGTCCTGAACTGATGGCTCAAAATTTTGTCCAGATGTTCCCCTACCCTTATATAAACATGGAAATTGGAAGATGCATCGTCGCATGGACCTGGGCTGTCTGACATTTGTTGGAAGGAATTGGCTTCGACAGGAACAAGAAAGCCTATCACTTGAGTTTAACTTGCCAGCACGGTCCACGTCGTGTGCACAAACTGCGAGGCTAACGGGCCCTAAACTTCTTGGACTAGATCTTCCAAGCGATCGTCACGACGAATCCTATCCATCATGGGCCGTATAGCTGCTGGATGGACCAGTGATGAATCCACGCATAATAGCCCAGAGCTCACCATCCGCCTCTTTTTTCCATTTCTGATGAATGTTCTAAAAGTAGACTTTTAAATGTAAAACAATATACAGCTAAATTCAAAGAGTGACTAAACTTGGGTGGTTGAGTGTATGACCATATTTCCCTCCCAACCAAATGAGTTAGATTCACTTTTTGTATTTCATGAATCGTTGATGAACGTCTTTGTAAATGTGAAGCGATCACAAATGAGTCAACATCATCAAAACAGCGAGAATGCAAAAAGAAGAGAGAGAAACGGAATAACCCGGAGACGTGACTGGGTTAACCGGCTAACTCATCAGCTTCAGAGTTCACATCATTAATTAATATTAATTAATAATACTGCGTCGGCTCCTCGACGAGAAGCACCGTCCACGTCGCCCAACAAAAGGAATCCTTAAGGAGCTGGATGCCAAACAACGCTGCTTCCTATGGACGGGCGGAACACGGTTAGCTGGAGGGAAATGCAAAGTGGCTTGGAAACAGGTGCGCCGACCAATAAAATTGGGTGGTCCTAGAGTGCTAGATATCTATAAATTTTCACGGGCCCTGCGGCTACATTGGCTATGGCAATCATGAAAGTCCGAAAATAAGCCTTGGGTTGGTATGGAGATCCCCTGCACCAATACAAATAGAAGGCTTTTCAATGCGGTGACCAAAATTACAATTGAAAATGGAGCAAAGGCCTTATTTTGGCACTCTGCATGGTTGGATGGGATTTGTCCAAAGGACCTGGCACCCACGATTTTTGCCTTGAGCAGGAAAAAGAACAGGACATTTCAGCAAGCAGTAACTAGAAATGTTTGGGTCCAGGACTTGAACGTGCTACACATAAACTCCATCCTCCAAATTTCCTAGTTTGTGAGCCTCTAGGAGAAGGTCCGCTCTACTCACCTTGACCCAAATTTACAGGACCAGATCACTTAGTGTTTCTGTGCTTCTGGTGAATACTCAGCACGCTTGGCATACTTGACTCAATTCTTGGGATCCATTTCCACCGACCACGACAAGCTCATATGGCGCACTTGGGCCCCTCCCATATGCAAATTCTTTGCCTGGCTTAGCTTTCCAAAATCGCCTTTGGACTTCAGATCGCCTCCAAAAACGCGGTTGTCCCAATCACACGGATGAATCTGCCATTCACTTACTTGCACACTGCCACTATAACCTCCGAGTTTGGAATGTCGTGCGTACTTGGACGGGTGGCAACTTACCATTCACTTCTCGGTGGGGCAATCTTCGTTCTACAGATCAATGGTGGCGAGCAATCGGCACATCGCCAGGCTTGCCGACAAAGGCGGTACGTACGCTAACCACTTTAGTAGCATGGGAGATTTGGAAAGAGAGAAATGCGAGAATATTTGATCGCCGCCATAACACAACGGAAGCACTCATTGGCAAGATAAAGGAAGAGGCTAGACTCTGGTGTGCAGCAGGAGCCAAAAAAAACTTTGTGAGATCATTCCTACCTCCCTTGCTTGAGGCATAGCTTAGTTTTTGTGCATTTTATTTTCTTTTGTGTGATTGTTTTGTATAGTGCTTGTTCCCTTCTATATCAATACAAGTTCGGCGGAGCTCCTGGAGACCGTTTCAAAAAAAAAATGCACTCTAGTTGTTTGATACTAGATTTGGTAACTAGAGTACCAAGGGATTGGCTAAGATTTTCCCCATTATTTTAGTGACACTATGCATAAGGCTTATATTGATCTATAGTCCGCCACGGTATTCGCCCCCTGCTAACTGACCTTCTGGCGAGTTATCATGGCGTCTCACGCTCCAAGAGTATTATGCCAAGGCAAGAGATGTATAAACAACAAGAACGTTTCTCAATTGCAATCCATAAAAATCAAGATACTTGTGCAAAATGGCGGTGTAAACAACAAGATGCATGGTCAATGAAGACATGTTTCTTCCAAGTTTGCTCTCCTAATATAATCTTCCTTGATGGCAGTGGGTATATCCCTATCTGTACAGAATCAGATAGCTTTTTAACATAAAAAAAATGTCCATAATTACATCATATTTTTATCCTCTTCTCTATCAATACATGATTGGCAGACTTTTCAAAATTATGACAAGGAACTAGCTCTCTCTTTCCCACAGGTGGTGCAATGGTCTGCCAGTATTGCAGGACACGCTTGGCGTGCACCAACCAGGTCACCTTCTACGATCGAGCTCATGGCGATAAGGATTAAGGAAGGCCCTGCTGCTGACGTAGAACATTGCGTAGTTCCCAGTACAAGAACACTAGCCTAGTTCCAAAGTCCAAAGTTTGTCCCTTTTTGACCCTTGCTATAATCACCACGGCCTGTCCGATGTTACGCCGTAACAAAATTTATACAGCACAATCATCTCAGTTTCCAAGGCTGACCACATCCATATATACATGTCACCACACCAAGAACAGGTGTGAATTTTCTTTCATCACCATCCCAGATCACCAACCTCCAGGCTCCAGGCTCTAGAGGAGAGTAATAGT